ACGTGCTCTCCTCGGCTGAGGATGCAAAGGCCTATCCTCTCAATTTGGTGGTGGCCCTTTATGTGCTGCTTGTGCTGTGTGTGCTTTTATGGTAAGTGGTTATGTATACCCCCTTTTTTTACTCGTTTATGGAAGCATTTCTTAAGTCTAATGAATGGAATGTTTAATATTTGTAAAACATCCATTTGCAAGTGACATTTTAATCATTGCCAATTTTTTTTGTTATGGAGTTAAAGCCATGTAACTGTTAATTGTATTCTCATTTTTTGTTTTTAGCTGAAAGACGGATGTGGTTCTTTGAGATTCCACCTGCAAGAGGTAAGTACCAAGGTAAGCTATGCACAGTGGCCCATTATATGATGGTGCATTGAGAGTGGTTCATTTTTTCCCATTGACTTAAGAGTTGCATTTTGTCCTGACTCCATGTGATGATGGTCCACTATTGACTGGCTGCAAATGTGGGGCTTGCCTGGAATCCAGCACTTCTGGGTTGAGGGATCATTCCTGAAACTCCCAACTGGGAATGTTGAGTTTTCCCTTGCCTGGTTTGCCAGGGCGTGGCATTACAGCGAGTCCATTTTTCATCTGTTCAAGGATGCGTTGCCTCCCCCATTTCTGAGTAGGTACTTTGGTTCCTCCTACACAAACAGCATTAATAGTTGGACATTTGTTGACGCAAGTTCCAGCCGCCCCTGCGTCCCAGGTTTCCTGCACTTCCGTGTGAAAAACACATTCCAACCAGCATTTTGAGGTGCAATTTTCATTAATAAAACTTCATTTTTACTCTGTTCAAGATTTTCACTGAAAAAATGGGATTAGCCACTTGCATAAGCTACATCCAAACTAAAACGATTAACTTGAGTGAACAGTTCTGACAGTATAAGCACTTCTCATCTGTAACTCGCTGTTGAATAAAGTATGGTTAAAATGTAACGTGTTGATTTTTTTATACACCGAAAGACCTCCAGATGTTTGTGTACTGGGGTGACCACTGCAAATTGAAGGTTATATGCAGATGCACTGCATATTTTGCAGGTTTTTTATTCACAGCTGCAAAACGTCCATTTCGTGTGAATTTGTGATGACCAAAATTGAATGGTGTGCTCTATTGAAATCGAAATATTTAACCACCGCCATTTTCCATCGAATAAAGCTGAACTACACGACTTGTGAATGCGTTTACGTTACAGTTTTATATCGGGGCTGGGCTTTTTTTTCTACATTGAATAATTTATGGGTACATCGTCATCGCCCCCCCCTCATCGAAACCTATTTGGGGAGGGGGAGGGAAACATTTACGGTCCTCGGGCTCGAGGTGACATCTGCTGAAATCAAGCCCAGGTTTTTGTACATTCGACGTGACATTTGAGGTGCTACGTTTAATAATAAATGACATTCAAACTGGCAAACGCATACTATTCAATTAAAGAACGTGGGACATTGTGTGATCGTCATGCGGTGAGTGAGCTGTCATTGTTTTGCGATATGGAACAATGTCAATCCACGGCTTCGTTATTAATTGGCTTACACCGCGAGAAGCCTGCTTGGTGATTGGTTGATTTAAGTCGGCAGCCTGGGTATTTAAGCGTGGGCGGAGGGCCGCTCGGTGCCATTCGTCGGGAGGAATATCGCAGTGGTTATTTCAGCCGCCACTCGGGGGCGATGTCGAGACATTTCTAGGAGTGCAATCGGCGGCGGGTGACAGCGCTTGAGTCGAGTCAACTCGGAGGCGATGTCGAGACATTTCTAGGAGTGCTGTCAGCGGCGGGTGACATCGCTTAAGTCGTCAACTCGGGGGCGATGTTGAGACATTTCTAGGAGTGCTAACGGCAGCGGGTGACATCGCTTGAGTCAACTCGGAGGCGATGTTGAGACATTTCTAAGAGTGCTAACGGCGGCGGGTGACATCGCTTGAGTCGGAGTCAACCGCCCAGTGCTGAGTGGGGGTGGGCTGTAATTGACCTTGACCCACATTGAATCAGGTCGTCAAGTATAATTGCTAAGCAACCATGATATATACCTAGGAAGAATATATTTTTTTATTCGGGTTCTTAAAAGTGGATTGACAAGGGTTGTGGACAAGATATGGATAGGTTAACCTACATTTATTTGGAGAAATCTGTATTGAGATATCCACTGCTGGATTATGGGTTCCCTAAATCAGCCGGTACAGTCTAATGCTACAATCCAACTTGTTATTGCAAGATCATATCCTGCCTTATGTTCGGTATATTTTACTTTGATCTCGGTGTAGCTTTCACATCAGACCTATTAGCCTTCTGTCATGTACAGCACTTGTATATCAACTCTCGTGAAGATAATTGGGGAATAAAGTAATGGGCAACCAATTGTTTGAAAAGGCGATAAGAGAATTTGGTAAGGAGTTTTATGTAGCTGACACCTGGACCAGTACCACACAACTTGAATGAAATGCTACGTTTGCACGGCCAATGGAAAACAAACACGTTCTCTGTAGCCAAGTATGTAAACAATTGAGCGTGTTAAAATGTAAGCGCTTGCACACGAGAAACAAACTTAACATTAACCAATGTTCGTAAAATAAAAGTGTGAAGTGGATGTTTCAACAATTTTAACACGAGATAACTGAGACAGGGTCGGCAGGTGGCGATACAGCACCGTGCATTTCTGATGTGATGGGTAACAGAATCGGGGGGGGGGGGGGGGCCCGAACAGAAAAAAACATTCTCCCGCGGAGGGAGCTGGTAGGAACGTCGGGTTGCTCGGTCAATGGCCAGGGTCACACGGCGGCACCACGTGGTGTGTTCAGCACAATATGGCCGACTGTGAGGGCGGGCACAAGCCGGCGTGAGTAGGTTAAATGTTGAGTTTTATAAGGGCACCACGGGGTGACCAGCCCCACCCCACCCAGCCCCTCCCCACCCTCCCTACTCAGCCCCTCCCCACCCTCCCCACCCAGCCCCTCCCCACCCTCCCTCCCCACAGCCCCACCCAGCCCCGCCCTACCAGCCCCTCCCTCTCCACCCAGCCCCACCCCTCCCATTTTTGGATGCACGACGGACCGACGGACACAATAATAATTCCCTGTGGGCTGGTGTAACCAGGAGGTTTCTACCAGTATAAGTAATCCAGTATATATATTTTTAAACACGCTTTAATTAAATGTACCGTACTAGTAATGGAAGAACCAGGAAGTGGCCCCGAAGCTTGCCATAACGTAAGGGACCGTGGACAATTTAGACCCAAGCCGAAACATAACATATAAAAAAGAACGTTTAAAAAAATGTGTTTTTTTATGATATAATATAGTATTGTCATCAGTATGACATAAGTATACCAAGTTTGCAGTCGATACACACATTGGGAAGTGGGTTAAAATTGAGTTACAAGATTTGTTAGATGAAAGCGTGTAAAAAGCCCACAGAGCTAGATAGCTTCTTTTTTTCTTCAGAAATTCTCCAGCAGAGTGGTGCGACTGTGGTCATCCAGAGCAGCCCGTATACCAACGTATCGGAATATTTATTTATACTGGAGGAATCCCATGAGTGAAGATTTTTCACAGATGTCCGGTAGGAGTTGGGTAAGAATGCGACAACACAAAAACACGAAAGGAGCAAGAAATAGTACACCATCACCCAAACATACAAATATAATTTAACCATCCTACCAGCATACATGTCAACGCCTTATCAGTGCCCTACCTCCCTACAGACCAATTCAGACATTATTGGTCACCCCGTAACCCCTTATAAATCTCAACGTTCATCCTACAAAGTCCCATCAAGTCAGAAACACAATCACCACTCGTACACTCACTCATACCTGTCAACCCCTACCAGGGCCCTACCTTATTAGGGGCCGTCCGTAAATGACGTCACGCGATTTTGGACGATTTTTGACGACCCCCCCCCCCCTCGTCGCACGACGTCACAAAAAGTCAGACCCCCCTCAAATATGACGTCACAAAGCTCTGCCCCCCCCCCTAAAAAATGTAAAACATGCTTCAAATCGCTTTAAATGATTGTCATTGTAGTGCGTATTTAATGTGGCGCTGCACTCTGATGTTGTAGGATAAAACATCAAAAGGTATATTTAATGAAGTAGAACGTATTCTTGGTTCTTTCGGTAAAGTCACATATTTTTATTATTTAATTGTTTCCCTTTTACGTGACTTTACCGAAAGAACCAAGAATATGAATCCCTGCAGTCACGAAAGCTTTAAATCAAAATTTAGAAGTAGAACGTGTTTATATTTATTTAAAGTTGCGCATTTTGATGTGACGTCACATTTCTCACCCCCCCCCTCTCATCACACATCGTCACAAATGTCTGACCCCCCCCCCCCCCTAGGTCCATGACGTCATTTATGGACGGCCCCTTACTGACCAATTCAGACCTTATTGGTCACCCCTTATAAATCTCAACGTTCATCCTACAAATTCACATCACAAGGGAGAAACACAAACAAATATACTTTTTTTTTGCCCGTATTTAAACGGATGTACGCCGTATAGACCTGAAAATTCAATTTCCCTGTTCAAGAATAAGGATAAACCGTATGGGTTGACAGGTATGTACTAGGCAAAGCCCACTGAGGAATTCACTTATTGTTCAGAAGCGACCTGGCCACGAATGATAGCTCAACAAAGTGGCTTGTCGTTTGGACATTACATTTTATAGCAGCAAAATAATAAAAAAACAGTCTACGGATCTGACAGAATGTGGGAGACGTTGCTCCGCATTTCATAACTGTCAATCCCATACGTTTGCCTGTATTCTTGTACAGGGAAATTGAGTTTAAAAAAATAAGAATTGCGTCGATTTTGTCGCGTTTCTCCTTCGTGATGGGGACTTTGTAGGATGAACGTTGAGATATATAAGGCGCTACGGGGTGGCCAACAAGGTCTGAATTGTTCTGTAATAAGGTAGGGCACTGATAAAGGTTTGACGGGATATGTAAATTTTTACATCAGCCGGACGACCGAAGACTTAAAAGGGGAGCATTGAACAACCATATCGTGAGCGCGTGCTCGTGTTGACAACGTCACGTGATCCCCCTCGCCCCCCACGTGACTCACGCACGCGCACCCCGGAGAGCCTCCGCCGACGCCACCCGGCTGCGTCAACCTGGGGGACGCTGCGACGTTTGAGAACTTTCAACGACGACGACAACAACAAAGATTCCCCAGCTTCGGTTCTCTTTATCCGTGCGATGGGAGTGACGCGCCCATTGCCGAGCTCGCTTTGGACATAACGGTGGAAAGAAAAGCAAAGGAGGAAGGGCCGGGGACCCACCCTGCGGGCCTAGTCTTTCCGCGCCGTGCTCGGTGCGCCATGGAGCGGCCGCGCGGCTATCCGAGGCTCCGCGTCCCCGCGGCGCTCGCGAGGCTCACGGCCCGCGTCTCGCTGGCCCGCGCGGCGCCGCTCGCGGCAGCGGCGAGACAGTTCCCCGTGTCGTTCGGCACCCTGACGCTACTCGCCACGCTCACTTTGCTGCTCAACAGGTTCGGGGGTTCCTCCGCTTACCCTCTGCCAAACCACACCCGCGACGGGATCTTGCTTTTTGAGCCTTAGATTAGAGCAAATGGGTCTTGCAGAGTCTTAGGGATAGCTGCCGCCTGACTCCCCACGTGCCACAGATATGTGGATTGAATCCTAGGAGTGTGGCTCTGTGAGCCACAGTGATATCAATTGTATGACGCAAGTATTATGGGTTTGCATCGGTATCCTGCTGGAGATGTCTGCGTCTGACTGTACACGCCTTGGAGATGTCATGTGCGTCTTCAGAGTCCGGCTTTGTGAGCACAAGGGGTACACAGTGGACACGAATGAAGACCCTTGGAGATGCCTTTGTTTGTTTTAGAAACTTAGCATTGCCAGGTCAATCCTAACCGTCATAGGGATGATTAGTCGTATGTTCATGTGAACATTAGAGATGCCAATTCAATGTTTCGAGGCTTTTCCGTGCTAAGATTGTATCACGAGAGGCTCGGGTCGTCTAGCCTGTCTCGAGGAGCCCGAGATATCTCAATTAAATCCTGAAAGTATTTTAAATGTTTTCGTGTGCCTCTGAGACCTTAAGAGATATCGTTTAAATCCAAAGAGTCCATTTAAGTACCTTTGTTTGGGTCTTTGAGTAACGCGATGTTGGTTGAATCCTAATGGTCTGAAGAATGCCTTAGACGTGTCTCTGTGAGCATTACAGATAACTTTATTACAATTGTCGGGCTCTGTAAGCCCCATATACCGTATATCAATGTACTAACAGTATGTATGTTGAACTTCTTTCGCATTATACGAAGTCAACCGTGCTAATCGGAGTATAAGGGGTGCTTTAGACTTATTATATTATTCTTAAAGATGTCAATTATTCCTTGAGAGTGTCAAGGCTCCTTGCCTCAGGCTCTGAATCTTATCGGTGTTAACTATTTTCCACACGTCTTACCGGTGCCTTGGTGTAGCTATACAACCCTTAGCGATATTATCGGTTTGATTTGAAGAGTATCATAGATTCCCGAGTCTTGTTATAAGATGTGAATCTCATGTGTGTCTTTAGGTTGGCTGTATACATCCAACAGTTGTCATTAACATCGTTACCATACACATATCCTTTTTATAGTTCAAAATATTCCTTAATATGGTCTTGCGAACCTTATAAAAAAAGTCCACGCATAACATTATTAGTCGCACTATTATCCGAACGGTGCCCTTAGCCTTATTATGAGAGAGTTCGATTTTTAAGTTGAATTTTTTGTTTGCCGTCGTGTTGCTCTAAGCGTACAACACGTCACATTAATTCTGATAATCTCAATATTGCCTTGGCGTGGCTCCGCCTTGAGCATTCCAATTTAATCCTAGGATCCTCAAGAGTGCATGGTTATTTGACCTTTGCACATGGCCATATTTCATCTCCAGAACCATATCGGTGCCCTGGTTTAGCTCTTTAAGCCCTTGGAATGACCATTTAATCATTAGTGTGGTTTGCATGGTAATATGAGCCACAAGTCATATAACTGAATCTTAAGTGTGTGTGGTATTTTGGATCTGTCATCCATAGGAATTACCATTAAATCATATGAATCTGAAGTGTCAGTAAGAACCTCAATGAATGTCCATTGGACACACAAGAATCATAAGCATGGCTTCATTTGGCTCTGCACGTTATGTGCATGGCCATTGAATCTCAAGGGTTTTTGGTTGTCAGTGTGCATCTTGAGGAATGACCACCGGGTCGTGGGAATCTGGGTGATTGAGTTGTACACGACAGTTGAAGAGTATAACTCCTTAGGGTACTTCCGCTTAGCTCTCTGACTGCTAAATGTTTCTCAAAGCGTTTTCAATAGATTACAGTATATCCAAAACTCAGCTGCCCGGGTTTTAAACAGATCTAAATCGTGTGACCATGTTACTCCTGTTATTTCTCCCCTGCACTGGCTCCCTGTAAAGTACAGAATCGACTTTAAGAATCTTCTTCTCACGTTTAAGGTCATGAATGGGTTTGCTCCTAAATATCTCGCCGATCTGCTGAAGTTTTATATTCCACTGCGAAAACCTAGATCCGCTGAGTCTAGTCAGTTCAACACCAAACCACTTGGCTCACCGCTCATCCGAAGCACCTGCTGCATGAGTGATGTTACTGTGCTTCAGGTACTTGCACATCTTCATGGTGTTTTGGTCCTTCCTGGCGGGGCTGGCAACATTTTACTATGCGCTCAGCCCGGAGACTCTGGTCCCAAACCTGCTGTTTCTCATAAGCAAGAAGCAGAAGGTGAGTCCATTGCAATGATTTACCATTGGCAGGGTGATTTGTTTTACATTTATGCTCACCAGCATTTACGCACTCGTTCATGTACAACTTCCCTAGCCACAAGCGCTGCACTAAAAATGTAGTTATTGGCTTCAAAGAGAGAACCGGATATGTTTATAGGCAGTGCTACACGAAAGGGGGGGGGGTGGTTGACACTGTCCGTTAAGTGTTTTTGTACATACCCTGCAAGCAGGTGTGTTCAGAACATATTGATTAGGAGTGCACCCATTGTTGTGTAAGGTGGCCAGGATTAATAATGTTGTAAACTGGAAGTAAATCACTTCAGCCACCCACTTGTGGAGCACTGCTGTGTTTGGTCAAAGGATGTGTGAATGTAGCAAGCGATCAGCATGCACAGAGTTAAGGCCGTTTTATTTCAAATTGAGCACTCGTGTTTTTTTTCCACACGTTTTGGTGGGTTTGACATGAAAAACTCAAGAGATCGGTTAACTGCCTTGGCACCCAACTACAGAACGCAGTCCGGAAATTATAGTTTGGCGTGCATTGTGTTTAAATTAAGCATTGCTCTTGGGGCAACACATCACTGTGGCTGCACATCACTGTGACTGTGTGGCTGTGGGACTGATTATGTTTGTTTTTCTTTTCGTCTTGTGGAATGTCATGTGCCCTTTTAAAAACAGGATCCGGATGGATTGTCTAGACCGATTGGGTGTGCTGTTTGCGGCGATGTGAAATGCAACAGGCATAGGTGAGCTGAGCATCAGAATTTAATTATTATCTTTTAAAGAATGTATTTGAATCAGACGTTTATTGAACATTTTTTTGCATGTCACTATTCAGGCCTACACTTTCGCTGGAAAGCATGCAGCCCTGGCTCGACTTGAAGGTTCCTCAAAAGGTGGATGCATCCTTAGCAGAGGTCAGTAACTCTCCAGAGTCTGGTACATACTGCAGTCAAGCTTGGCTCTAAACACCATGGCGTGGGGGGGGGGTCATAGAAGTTGGATAATACTACGCACATCCATTGAGATTCATCCCTCACATTTCAACCTCCCGACATTCATGAACACTCCAATGTCCTGCATTAACCGTGGACCAAATTACCCGGATGGTGCTTGGCTTCGAAAATAAGTGCTCTTGAACCCTTGATCATGCTTGGATGGGAGACCAGCAGATACACAATCATGGGTCTGTCAGACTACCTAGGGGGCAGCAGAGGGCACTGCAGTAAAATCCATTGTTGTATTCTACTTTTATGCTCCCCACCAATTGACACGGACCAGCATGGTGAAGTAATGGTAAAAATAACCGGTATGACCTGTACGGGGTGGAGAAGCCCTAATCCAGCAAAATGATTGACAAAGGGCTGTACATTCACACGTGCACCATCCTGGGATCATGTCTACCTATAAAGTGTTATGTTACATACATTTATCGTGTCTATGAATTGGAAAGTCAGATGTTGAAAAGACTGGCATCGAGCTCACCACTGCCTTTAAACTCGCAACCTGTACATTACCTATTGCATACATTCACATAAATATTTGTTACCAATGTATTTATTATATTGACGTTTATTTACAGTTGTTGGAGCTTGTGCTGAAGAATTTCATCTATCCTTGGTACAGGTATGAAATGTGAATGCAATTATAGCGATTTCATTCACCATCATCGCATATAACGGTATATCATTATTGCAGAAAACGAAATATATCGGTGATATTTCATGGATGTTTATAAGGCTATTTAATAATTCATTTATTTCTGACATATCCATTCGATTGATTTAATGTGACGTGTGGCTGTCATGAAGGCGGAGCCTCGGTTTGCATCGCTTAACGTGGGATTGCGCACGCGTGCTTCGCAGCGATTTCACGGACGACGAGGCTCTGGTGGACGAGCTGCGCCTCACTATGCGCTTCGCCGCCGCCGTGCTGCTCCGTCGAACCAAGAAGGTGCCCAGCGTGCGCCGTTCATTCAGATGACGCGTACACTTCGCACACGGCGTCACGGTACAAATTCGCCAAATGAAAATTACTTGCAAGGCGCTTCATTCGGAGAAAAAAAAAATCCTTCGCAACGTCGCCCCTTTAATGGCGACAGCCAGCGTACACCTGCTGCACAGAGATAGTTGCCACTGGGGGGCGCCCCTTCGAACGCGTTGAGATGTAGATGCGTCGCTCGTCGCGCTTAAAGCGCTCCGAGACGTCCCAGCATAAAGGGCTCTTTATCAGAAACAAATCATTCACTGTAACAAACAAAAAATGTTTCTGGGTAGTTAGTGTTATTTCCTAATGATTATGCCTCAAAAGTACAGAAAATGGCTAATAGTCCCCACAAACTTAGCTTGTGTGACCAGGACACAAAAGCCAAGTTAATAATCCAATCCATTAATAACACTGTGTTAAATAAAGCTCAAATATAAAATGTTCTGCAGCACAAATTATGTCTCGGCTGATCATAGTTTAATTATACATTTGAGTTACAAAACCAGTTAAAAAAACAGATATAGAGTGACTATAGCACTGATATGTAAACAGACAAGGATTTATTTCAAACGCAATTACAATTGAAGTTGTAATTAATCAACATTTTAACGTAAAATTGTGATTTACTCTCAACCTCTTAGAGGCTCCTGTCCTTGAACACAGACCTGGCCTCCTGGGTCGTGGCCTTGAAAGCAATACCACTTACTGTTTCGCTTTAGTTCCAACAACTAGAGGCTTTCTGCATTTTCTGCTTCCCAGGTCGATGTTCCCTCCCTCATCACGGACAAGTTGCTCAAGGTGGCCATGAAGCACATTGAGATCGTGGTGCGAGCCAAGCAGAAAGGTACCGGTTCTCCGTCACCTCGTGCAGCACAGGGACAGCTGCTACCGGATGTGATGCCCTTTGAATGATTGAGATGAGATGTGATGCATGGCACTTTGGAGTTGCTAACACATTTAAGTACGGTATAATTACAAAGATCGTTATTATCTCCTCATTCAACCTACTATGAGGATGAATGCCTGTCACCCTCGGAGGATATCTGATGGCTTAAACACATGCAAGACATTGTCAGCCTTCCCAAATAGTAATATTGGTTCCAATGCTCCACTTAAAAAAGGATGTCATATTCTGTGCACGCTAATGTAATTTGAATCGTGAAAGTGGTTAAATAGGCAGTTTATCAATTTCATTCACGATTATTTAATCTGGGCTGTGGGCTCATAGCATAGATGAGATTGTATCATTAACCAAACAGAAAGCAACATGTATGGTTGTCTGCCCATTCTGTTGGTGTATTGTTATTCCAGTCGTACCACTTGTTTTTGAGGTGCATGTGAAGCCCTTACCCATGCCGTGCAGGTCAGGGGTTTTTATTTTTCCCATTCTTGACCAAGTTGGTCATTGCCGGTTGATGATGGCGGAAAGCATAGGAGTACAGCAATGATTTTTGCTGTACTGCCTTCTACTGTCCACAGCGTAGCTCAGCAGCCCAAAACAACCTGTGCATGGTGATCACTCATTGAAGCGCAATCCAGGCTCAAATCTGCTTAGCTTCCAAGATATATTTAGGTGTATTCCTTTTATATTGATGCATTCATGTTATATTGATCTATTTCTCTTGGATTGATTCATGCCTGTTACATTGTTTTGCAGTTGCTGTCATGATGTAATTATTACCAATCTGTTATGTGTGTCTGTGTAGATAACACATAGAGAGGCCTTCTTTTCTGCCCTCGTTGTGCTATGCAGAAGGGCCATTGCACAAAATGTCACCTATTATATATATTTTCTTGTTAAGGTCACAGTGTTTTTTGACGAGTGCGTTGCATTTTGTCGTTTTCTGTGCTCCACTGCCAGCGCAGTTTCCCCAAAACAATTTGCGTGCGCGTGTGCGACCGAGCGTGGTACGTTGGCGACGTTTGCTCTGATGCCCTCGTGTCTCCCATTTTAACTGCCAGTGCGCAACACGGACGCCCTGCAGCAGGCAGCTCTGGAGGAGTATGGGCCCGACCTGCACCTGGCCCTCCGCAGCCGGCGCTCCGAGCTGCGCTATCTGCGCACGCTGACCGAGATGCTGCTTCCGCAGCTGATCCCGCACAGCACGGCCGACACCAAGCACGTGCCTGCGTTGCACACGCCGCGCACTCCTCGCTCGCGTCCTCTCCACTCTGCGTGCTTATCTGCGATACGCACGAGTTTAACCGTGCACTTGTGTGTATATATATGTTAAACGGGATTTGTACATTGATGTGTATACTGTAGTCATCATCACTTACGATCAACCCTCTGCTGGATTGTATTTTAGGCTAGTTTTAAGTGGCAGACTGGAATGTATGCGTATTAAACTTATTTCGCACCATACGTAGCCAACCGTGCAAATCGAAGGTGCGGAAATGTATGCAACGCCTCCCATAGTTGACTCCAGTTAACAGATAAAAACGCACGCAGCAAAACACTAGACCAGCAGACGTCAACCCAGTACATTGCCTACGTACTTTCACATCCCGTTGTCAGTCCACTGCTGGAAAGAGTTGTTCGTGCTGCCGGAGTGACAGAGGGGGTTGCCTTCTCCGTTTCGCCACAGGTCTCTGATGTTGCTTGTGAGAGAGGTGGTGTCGGGCTCCGTGCTGCTACCCTTGCTGGACCAGCTGGCCTCGCCCGTGAGTTCCCAAAAGTCGCTGTTGCCCACGAGCCCACGGCACCACCTTCGGTTCGCAAATTTAAGCCGCTCCCTTGTCCCCTCTACCTCGGCGCTTCTCAACCTCTTCCATTCCACGGCGAGCTTTGGCGGCACGCCGAACAAAAAAAATAATCACCGTGGGCCCCGGGTGGATGGGTGGGAATGCGGGAGTGCGGCGGCCGATGGCTGCCTGCTGCCGTACTGTGCCGCGATCAATGGAGAGGCGGTTGCGGAGGGGGTAGTAGGAGCTGGATCGACCACTGATCTGCACGGAGGAGAGCGTTCGTCTGTCCTAGGTTGTAAACAGTGAGCTCCTTATAATTCTGAAAATACCATGGCATACCTGGGAGACACTGGTTGCGAATCTCTGCTCTGCTGCAGCAGCCAAACTAGCGGTCAACTTTATCATGGGCATCAGCCAGACTGCCCACCATCAGCGTTTTTTTTCTCCCATTCTGTCAGCGTCACATCACGAGAGGAAGTGTTCATTCGGTAAAGTCACGTAGAAAGAAAATAAATAATAGAATACGACGTTTCTATTGCAACACAAGCAACCGTCATCAGCTGTGAATGAATGCAAGCTCGGAGAGAGACACATACAGAGAGACAAAACACTGACACGGGGAAAGACATACACAGATAAACAAACACACAGAGAGAGAGAGACACACAGAGAGAGACACACACAAGCAGAGAGAGAAGTGTTCATTCAGATCTCTCGCAGGGCAGTACGACCCTTTATGTAAGAGAAGGTTCCACCGAAGAGGATATCACGGAGTTACGTCTGAGTGACCTCTGTTCAACAGAGGAGGAAGCGGCAATCTCTCATCTCCTCTGCCACTGGGAATAATGCACGTCACGTGAACGTTGAACCCGTTTTTAATTATCACAGCTTGAATTAGCCAAATTAAGTACAGAACCATCTTTTATGTCGTGGGTTTTTTCTGTACAGTCATGGGGGACCATGCTGAGTCCATCAGCTCACGACACTTGAGATAACCCGTTTAATAGCAGGCATCTGCCTGGATTTGAGCCCAGGATCTTAGCGTTGTGTGCAAAAGCTGACTCGTGTGTGTGTGTGTGTGCTCCGTGGTTCAGTTTAAATGGGAATTTTGGCCTCGCTCTCACCAACATTATTTGGTGACCTTTCACCTGCCCTAGTCCCAGTGCAGTATACGAGGCCTCATGGTTTCTCCCTTCCTTGTTGCAAAACACTCAGAAGGTTAGCTGGAGGTGAACCCACCAGACACGAAGTCGCCACGCATAGTTGTAAACAGCAGATGCTGTAAACAATCAGGGGGTTACATGGCGGTTGAGATGCTGAAACGTTGGGAGTCGACACATATAGCTGAAAACGGCAGATGCCTAACGGTGACTCCCTGCCACGCTGAACAAACATGGAGGTGAATTCAACATAGTGATAATCTAATAGACAACCATCAGTTTAATGCGTAGGCTTTCACCACCAATATCCATAATAGAGGTTTGTGGTGTTGGATCGCGTAAATATAAATGTGGCGTTAAACCCACCACCACCCGATAGCCCGTTCGTAAGGTTTGTCACGTAAACAAAACATGCCAATTAGGTACTAGTTCAGCACACGAGCGTTTTGGAGAGTAAACCCACAACATTTACCATTCGAGTACGACGTTTCGCCGATAATTACAAACCCGCCTTATCAGGCGACAGCCAGACAGAATTGTCTGATAGACAACCATCACAAAACTTATGTATGGAAAAGGCACACGTATCATACCACACTGGGATAGATGTGGTTGGTATATGAATGGTAATGTGTGTGTACATGCTGATGGCTATGCATGAGTAATTGTTTTCTTTTTGTCACTTTTTTCCAGGACTTTGTGAACTTCTTGATTTTGCTATTTTTGGACGAAACCCCGGTGAGTCTCAGCCGTGGCAATCAGATTAAAATAATATGAAGCGTGGTGCGTTTGTATAGCATCTGCATGAGCGTAGCAATTAACCTGCATGTATTTATGCATCGTTGGGTACACTGTGACAATTGCAAATTATATACCAGTGTCTTCTTGTGTTCACATTGATACACCGTAATGCATGAGCGTCGAGGATATTGTGCTGTGGTTAATGAGGCATATAACAGTTAACTTGCCCGTCCCCATCAGCTATTCCATGAATTACATGTCACGATTAGTGTGGGATAATACATAGCAATCATCGCCACCTACTGACAGCTTAATGCCCCAGGTCACCCTTGCAAATGAGACTTAACTTGGTCTTTTAACCGCTCACCTGGTTCAATTAATTGACCTTGAACACCCCTTGTGTTTGTCGCTGTGGGCAGATGATGGACTCGATGGAGCCATCCTCACCTCTTGTGCCGTTTTTGGAGAAATTTGTGCAGCCAAGGACAAAGTCCTTCACCGTGAGTTGTCCACGCGTCCCCCGCGACGTCACTCGGCACCAGGACGAGACCTTCGGGCCAACTCGTTTAACACCCGTACACCAACACGCAGTCTCCATGCGCTCCGCACCTCCGATTAGCACGGTTGGCTACATACAGTGCGAAATAAGTTAGACGTACTGTGTAAGATAATACAAATTATAAATGAGAATTCATGCTGTGACCAAATAACCTAGAATGGGCCCGATTGCTTCAGATCTCGGAAGTTAAGCAGGATTGAGCATGGATAATCCATTAGATTGGCTTCCACCATTCATAAAAGGTGTGTTGCGAGGTTGCGGGAATACATGGAGGGTGGTGCAGCCAAATCCGTTGTTGTGCTGTACTTCTATGCCCCCGTGTCTGTCACCGTCACCAACACTCGCTGAACAGCAACATAGGGAGGGTCCTTATCCGGAAGTGGATTGACCAAACGTTTCTGCTCGCCAAAATCCATAGTACTTAGCAAATCTTAAATTATGTACAATGATTTAAAACCCAAATACATCTATATATGCTATGAACACAAAACACTTTTGAGTCTACAAAACATGAAAATATAATCGTAACCCGGGAATACGCTCGGCTTAATTAAAGTTTAAACAGTTGAAATCGGGTAGTGCAAGACGCACGAGCATAACCCAAACCGCCATGTGTGGCGATCGTAGGTGCTCAAGCTGGAGCTGAAGGAAATTCGCAAGACCCAGGAGTTGCTCTTCCTCTTCATGAAGTTCCTGAAGAGCCAGGCGGTCGTGCATGTGCTGCAGTTCTGTCTCTCCGTGGGTGAGTAATGCCCCGAACACCAGGGGCAATGAGAGGGGCAGGGCCTCTGAGGCGGGGGGTGCTGGGAGAGGCGGTCATGGTAGCTCAGCCGTCCGGCTAAATCTTTTCACGCATTTATGCTCATCGGACGTGCAGGGGAAGGACAATGAACGATACATAAGCAGCAATTCGAAACAAATTAGTTTTCAATCGAAATGAAATGATGGTTATGCTTAACAAAACAGAAGCTGCCATGACTGTGGTATGTTAATGCCAATGCATTTTGTCATTTATTTATTAGGGAACTTTTCGGTGAATCTCAAGCTCTTTCATGAGGTTCCTGCTTTGGGATATTTGATTCATTCTAAATTTGTGAAATTCCCATAGCCACTGAGCTGCGAGGTGGTAATGAGATGGCAGTCCAGCAAGTGGGTTCAGGAACCCATCTTTGTAGAGCTTTGGTATGTCCTTGTGTTTCTTTGTAGATTTCCTGTAGATACTCCAGTTTTCTACAACAGGCAAAATACTACATTGTCTCCAAATATATAAAAGGCAAAGTTGTGAATATGTGTGTGTTCAAAATGTTTAGCGGACTTCCCGACATGCAACAAACTGGAAATTTGCCATGTGGATACTTTCCAGACTGTACACCATGCAAAAATTACAAAAATACACTTGGTTTTTTTAGGGGGGGGATCTCAATAATGCATATATTTTTTGCACGGTAAGTGAGCTGTGACGTCAAATCTGTCACGTGACCCTCGCATGTGGAAGCGTAACGCATTGTAGTGTAGCGGTTAGCGCGCCACGCTACGAACCCGGCGACCCGAGTTCGATTCCCGCTCACGGCCACCACCGGTGACGATTATTTTCACCGGTCCTGGGCCTCTCCTAGGTCGACTCAGCCTCAAGCGAGTAACTGCTGTGGTGTGTGAATATCGCCACTAGGGAGACAAAGGCGGCCGCGCGTGGTGGATCCAAGTTCCGGGCGAAGCCGGGTAGTACAGCTAGTTGTGTATATTTTAAAGGTGCATGAGGACAAAGTGACAGTTCGGAAAAAATATGGGGTGAATGATTGTTCTTGGTGTGAGCACACGGGCGTCCTTTACACGAGGACACTCCTCCTCTGTGACCGCACGGCCGTCCCTGCTAACGCAGCATCGCCTCGTTTTCCGCAGAGGACTTCAACGACAAGCTAATCCGGCCGGACCTGAACGACACCGAGATGCAGGAGTTGCACGCCGAGGTCTGCTGTCTGTACCGCACTTATTGCTGTGACGGCAGCGTCGACAAGATCAAGTTTGACCCTGCCGTGGTGGCGGGACTCGCTACAGGTGGGTCGTCCCACATGAAGCCGTATATTTGAACCTGAGATTTTGTCTGTGTGGTAGTGTCGCGGTTAGCGCGCTGCGCTACGAAACCGGCGACCCGAGTTCGATTCCCGCTCACAGCCAACACCAGTGACGATTATCTGAACTGGTCCTGGGCATCCCGTAGATCGACTCGGCCTCAAAATGAGTCCATGGTGCCGTGTGTAAACCACCACTGGGGAGACAAAGGCGGCCAGGCGTGGTGCTGGCCACCCACCCCGTCGTGTGCCATGCCGGCCTTTCATAAGTGCTCGCTCACAGCTCTTTCCCCAACAGTCTGGTAAAGGTGATACGGGGTGGGGGGGGGGTACCTTTGTCTTTTTATGAGAAATAAGGATGGATTTTACCCTTTCTGGCAATAAAACAGTTGTGTTAAGATGTTCAATCGCCAAATAGAAACCTTTTCCAAGGAATCAAGTCTGCATGAACTACACGCACTTGTGGTGAACATGCAAACAAACATGCTCTGATAATATATTGCATTGTCTTTGAAACGGATTGGCCTAAACCAGAGACGGCCTTCTTTTATGGCCTTGTCTCACCAGTGTCAGACCAGAGAACGCCAAAGACGAACAGTACAAGGAGAAGGCACTATCAGAGCATTTACAGCTCGGGTGAGCAGCTATGTTCTCACAAAACAGTTGTTTACCCCAGAAAGGGTAAAAACCTATTATTTTTCATACATTTGTAAACACAGTGCGTGGACTAGCGGTCACGAGTGGTAATTACAGGTGTGAAGGCAATATAGAAGGCTCGCGGTCGCAAGTGGTAATTACAGGCTTGGTGACAGAGAAGGGAACAATCTGGAATCTCCAGGAAGGTTCGGGAACTCGCCAGAGAGTCCGAGAAGCAAGGGCGTGACCAGGGGCGGAGCGATGGCCACGCCGGGGATAAAAAGGGGCGAAGGAGCGAGGTTCGGGGCTGCTGTGGAAGTCGGGGTCGTCGCGGTCCGGGAGCGCTGTCGTCACGTCGTTGTCGTCGTCGTCGTCGTCGCTGTCTTCGGTCGTCGCTCTCTTCGCGTCGTCGCTATCTTGAAGTCATCGCTGTAAAGCGACCGACCAAAATAAAGAAACCCCTTTGTCTTTGTTCCTGCAGTGGTGCACGGACCATACGCCGACGTGGTGAGGCTGCAGAACACGCCGCACCTGTTCCAGGCCTACGAGCACGTGCTGGCGCTCTTGGAGAACGTGTTCACCCCCATGTTCTGGCAGAGCGACGAGGTTTGTGCAGAGAAGTCGCGCGAATGAAGCCAGCGCTGGCACTGCCTCGAGTTTTATATCACGTCCCTGACTTGAGTCCGAGAGCCTTCATCAAGTTTCTGTTAAGGCTCATAAATAACTATCAGGATGGTTGCTGCTCCATACATTCGTAATTTAGCTTAGCTTTGCTCTCAGTTTGTCAAAATTGTACTCTCTACTGCCTTGAAATGGAGACTAAAATATCAATATTAATTGCATTTAAGCAAAATGTTACCAATTGCATTGGTAGAGATTGGAAATAGGTTTAGTGCTGTCAGAAAGCATTGCTTGTATGTGTTTCAGTCATATGGCAGTGAGTGTTGAAATGCAGATACCTGTTTGAGCCTATGATTGTGATTTTATTCAGTAAGCGCTCTTGACAATGTTTTGTTTTTGATACACGCAATAAGAGTGCTTTACACGCAATAAGCAACTTACATCTGATGTCTAAATATTTTAAAGGGTAGCCTCAGTGGTAGCCGTTTCCTTGGGCACGAGGCTACTTGGCATTTGGGTCTGTGACTGAACATGAGAATACCAGCAGAGGGCAATGATTGCTACGTGTAATCCTCATTCGCCTTGGTTTACATAGAATGGTGATGAATTTGTACATATTTGTGTGATTGATCTTCTCCGATGTGATGACTGCTGTGCTGTGCGCAGTATTTCAGGTACATGATCGGAGATGAGAACTTGAACTCCACCCAGGGAAAGATGATGAAGTGAGTTCGTACGCTCGTGCCCACGTTAACCTGGGGACTTTTGAGACTTTTTTGAATGTTTTTTTATTTCGATAGGAACTCCGAGTCAGAGCACAAACCGTGATGTCGGGGTGGGGCGGTACAGGAACCCCGCGAGCACAAGTCCCAAACTCTGTGCTCCGGAGGGAGGTAATTGGGCTCGCTGCCGCCCCACCGAGTGGGAACCGTGAGCGCGGTGTGTACTTTTATGTGGGGAGGGGAATATGAGTGGAAGAAGAACTTAAGGGAGTAGAGGGAGCAGGGGGGAGAAGGGGGGGTGATGGGGGGGAAACTGGCGATTTTAAACGAAGCCCTAACCCAAAAAACAGCGATTATTTTATAGACACATAGCTAAGCCTTGTTTTCCCCAGCCTACCCAACATGAGTTTATTAATGATGAAAAAAGGCTTCAAAATCAGCCAGGTGAACTCTGGTGATATAGTTTGCGGCATTGCTCTTGTGATGCCACGATCGCGACATTTCAGTTGTTGTTTGGTTCTCGATAATGAATCGTCAAAACTGTGTCAGCCTGAGGACCCACAGCCCGAGGTGGTGCGTATCCAAATAAATGTTGAGAAATGTACATTTTAGCGGGTGCATCTTTAAAGAGTGCCATTCCAGTGCAACCCTCTTCCTCTGCTCGGTGCTTCTCAGGGTTGGCAGTGAGCTCGGGTTGAACGTGTAATGCAGCAGCTTTTTGTGTAGTTGGTTTGAGGAGGCTTGTAGCTGGCACGTTAGCAGCCTGAAACTGTCACTCCTTCAGCTTAGTGGCTACTGCACTGGAGTACATGATTATAAAATTAATATAAGGTACAAAAATAATAGGACATGACAAACAAGGACAGGAAGTCATATATCTTTCACTGAAAAAAAAGTTAATTTACCAGGTAAAGCCTGCTAAGCTATTATCTAGATTTGAAGCTTTCGTGACTGCAAGGATCCATACTCTTTGCTTCTATTCGGTAAAGTCACGTAGGTAAAAAATTTAAACAACAGAAATCACGACGTTTCGGCCACAACACAAGCGGCCTTCATCAGGTGGACAGGTTGGTCCCTTCACCTGATGAAGGCTGCTTGTGTTGTGGCCGAAACGTCGTGATTTTTGTTGTTTTAATTTTTTACCTACGTGACTTTACCGAATAGAACCAAAGAGTAAGCTATTATCTCTTTATCCCAGGCGACCTGTCCGCACGTGATAACTGATGGAAGTGAGCACGGGGAGGACATGCAAACTACAAATATACAGTAGTCAGGATCAGGATCGAATCCTAAAGCCTGCATACCAGGCGAGGGAGATCACGTCTCACCGCCACGGCACACCCATTAGACTCGCCCTGCCTACATACTGAGTGAAACGTCGCACTCCAGTTGTTGTGGGTTTATTCTTCAACACACCGGTGTGCTGAACTAGTAACGAATTGGCACGTTTTGTTTACGTGACAAACCTTATTAATTGGCTGTGTGGGTTGTTGTGGGTTTAACGAAAAAACCTCTAATGGATACTGAGAAAGTTGGGGGGGGGGGTTGCGGTGCGGGGGTGCAGCTCGACTTCGCCACTGTTGTGGGGAGATCTGAATCATTAATAATTATTGACCTGCATGAGCCAAGGGGCCTGGATCGCGTTTCACTTCAGTAATGTGTTTCCTTCCGTTTCGTGATTTGGAAAGAGTTTGAGATCGGTTTAGCCACTAAAGCCCTCGTGTTATGTAAGTTGATTTAAATTGAAACCACCATGGTCATTAATGTAGAGGTATTATGTTCTTAATTGAAACCGATTTTTTTTAAGTACAGAAATTTGTGACGAGCTAGTTGACCTGCACCACGTCATGAAAGCATCATTTAAATAAGCAAGACTAAACAAAAAAAACACAATCGATTAAAATAGAAAAATAATGTACGAAATCGCTATTCATTTTAAACATCGTCACGTATTTTAAACGGCTCAGAGTCTTGGGAAAAGTGTAAAGGTCGCGAAGCACTGTTGGCTACATATGATTGGCACGGTTGGCTACGTACGGCGCGAAAGAAGCTCACAGTATACATACGAGGCGTAACCCTTCACCTGCGCAACGCTGTTTATTTCAGAGCAAGCTTGTCCATAGAGGATGGCAGGTGAGTGGCGTGGCAGACTGTGCATTGTCTCCATCGTTCGGTGCCCGAGCGCGGGACGCAAGCCGCTTGCTCGCGCGCGTTCATCTGACCGCATGCACGTGCAACCAATCGTAACCGCGGTTTCATTGCTACGTTCGCGTTAAACCTGCTGCCATTAACCCCTTTGTTGGGCCTCTCTCGCCTGTTGTTTCGTTGTCGAAATATTTCGTGTGAGAGGCAGGGGAAGGAGATGAAATCGCTGCAGGGGAGGATAGTGTAGGTGTGATAAGGGATCGTGCGTACATCTACTTTAATCGAAGATGCAGCCAAATAATGAGTAGCTCTTGTAGCAGCTACACAGGTAGGGGAAAGATGAGTGCTATTAGAGAGGGAGGGAGGGGACTGGGACAGATGTGTCAAGAGATCATGCATACATCCACCTTTACAGTAGATGCAACTCACAAAATAAATAGCTCTTCTAGCTGCACAGTTAAACCTTGTCCCAGCTGTGTCCGACGTTACATTAAAACTGTTCTTGAGAAAAAATACTTTTAAGTCACTCACGCTTGCACTCTAACGATTTCACTGTGGCGTAACTGCTATACTTTTATGTAAAATGACACTCCAGAGATGTCACTGGAGCACGTCTGAATGTTAAGTTAAAGTTATTTTTATGTTTAATGAAACCTCAAACCTTTGTCGGACAGCGCAGGACACAGCCAAAGTAGGTCGCTCCAAGATGAGCTGTTTGCTTTTTGGTTGCATTTTCCTTTATGTACAATACCTGTTCATTTCAAACTCTTTCATGTATTCAGTCATCTCATGTCTTTCTCAACAGATCCCACACTTGCCCATCTCTGACTTTCACTGTGCGTCTGTCTGTGTCTCTGTCTTCATTATACTTTTCCTTTTATAAAAAACGCCCTCCCACATGAACGGACGCTTCAACGCGACCCACGCAATCGCGTTGCGGCCTAGCTTTGAGCGGGAGCCTAGAGCCTCTCCTGAAAGCCCAGGCCTGTCTCCTTCGGGCTCCACAAGCTCCTCCCCGGCCCCTCCATCCCCCTGCTCCTCCACTTGCTCATCTTCCACCTCCTCCCCTTTCCCACACGTAGCATCCATCCTCACTCTCCCATCCACCATCCTGCCCTCACTGCCCACGGCTCGCAAGTAAGTGGTCGCGTCGTAGTCATGATGAGAGATTGGCGAAGAGCAGTGCCTGTGTGTGGGTTATGCACACTCGCTGTGACCATTGCTGCTTCACCGCCGGTGGCCATGGGGTAGTGTGAGCGCTCCCCCCAACATTCACTCTCTTTCGCCATATCTCGTCATTGCTGCGCCCTTCATGATTCATTGTTATTCGCTCCTTCCGTTTGCATGCACGTCCCTAAGGGAAGCGAATTTTCTACATGGAGCCTGATAAAACCATGGCTGCTTAGGAAGTTAAGCAAGGATAATATGCGTGAATCGGTGTATCTTTATTGTGAGTCGGCTCATTAAGATACGTAGGTGTCAATGTCAAGTTGGTTCATGTAAACCTAGCCTGTCAGCAAATTGAGCATTGTTGAAACACGCCGATGCAGTTTCATTAAAAGGAGTCTTTCTGCATGAATGAATGGCATTACATTTAGCCAAAATATCTGCATACGATGGGTGACTGACTTAGCTTAAAATCCTCCTCGTGCCCGTTCGATAGTGATCTCATGCAGCGTGGTCCAAAGGAGTGTGGTTAAGAGATGGGAAACTCGGACTGCGAGATGACCCCAGAACTTATGTAGTCCAGAGCACACCGTGCTTGTGCATGTTTTAACATCTGCTCCCTGCATGTCTCATAATAAGGGATGTGACGATTTTACCCCCTCCATGACCAAATTAAAGTGTCACCATTTTTGGCAACGAATCTGAAACGCGAGAATTTACTGAGTTTTTATTTTGCGGTGTGTGTGTAATTTCCCATGGCTGCAAGGTTCTCATGAGCCAATGGGAACGTATACACAATTGTAATAAACAAAATACTGCACGCATTATTCAAGTTGCTAATCATGGATGAGAGAATTGATTTGAATAACTTCAATCATTACATCCCTAACTCGTGGAAATCCCGCTATGTCCTTGTTGCTGCACGTACCACCGAGTTTAATTTAAGACTTAAAACACTTTCTGTTGTGTTTACCGCATAACCCTGCTTGATGTGTACTTATGTTACTAATTGCAGTGTAAATGCATGATGTGAGTTTGAGACCATTCAACGGCCAATTAAATGGCCACTTGAACTTCAGAATGAGGAAGACAAATATTTTTGTAAAGGTTCTGTGAACATTTACCAAGATTCAGCCAAATTAGAGACTACAATATAATTTTAGCTTTTTACAAACACAGTATATTAACTGCAGTATATGAAGACAGTATTGCGTGATATTTTACTGTTCAGAATTTTTTTCTTCAAATATTCCTGGCAAAAATTGTAAATGGCCCACATTTAAACATCAATATTGACACCTTGGCAAGCGGCTGCGTTGCTTGTATAAATACTGGTATGTGTGAACATGGGGTGGAGCAAGGTACAGCGGTCGCGCATTAGTTCACTCGCTGCGCTCTGACTTTCAATTCCTAGCCACAGCTAACATCAGTGGCGTGTGGTATTTTGACCTTTCTCAGGAGCTTCCCTCTGCTTCAACAATCCACACCGACCAGCATAGCGAGAGCATTATCAAACAATCCCCGTGACCGACATGGTTTGGGGAGGAGTCATCCAGCAGCAGATTGTCAAAAGGACTCCGAAATTTTAACTGTTTTTGTCAGCATCAAATGTGGGCCCCCCTCTAGCATCAGAGGTCTCGAATGTAATGCTGACACACGAGCCCTCGAACATCAGAGGTCATATGTTTACCCATGATAGCCTCAATAAGTCTCAAGACATTTCCCTTAGTGTGGGAGTAAATCCGAGTGGGCAGATGAAACCCACAAGCTACAAGGGGATAGCACTCCCAACTTACTGAACATCTGTCAAAAAGAGCTTTATAGCTCATCGGATTCCTCCAGTATTAATGCATATTCTGTTTCAACTTTACACAGCTCTACTTACTGCACTGCCACCTACAGGTGCCTCATTTCCCTTTAGCTGGGTGTCCACTTTCCCCACTTCCCCCCCAAGTGGGTTAAAATGGTTGGCATTGGCCTTGGTACAGGAAATTAAATGGGCCCCCCCCACTGCCTATCATCGGACTTGGCAGCTACGCCACTCCCCACTCCCTCCAAAAGTTCTGGCTTAGACGCGTGCACCACCATGTCCGGCCCGGTGCTCACGGGCCGCCGCGGGGTTATACTTACTCGGCACGACTCTCAAACGTGACTGAAGGAATGAGTGAATCGGCGAGTGTCGGGGGCCGATCGAATGTGTTCTGCCGCCAATGATAGGCAGCTGAACCGGCGTGGCGGTGAGACCTTTGGAATCGGCCGCATCAGCAGCAAGTTCAAGCATGTGTTCAAGAGCAATACGCTGGAGGGGGGCCTGCCCGTCATGGAGGACCCAGACGAGCTGGGCCTGGTACGTGCACCTCTCCTCCCCTTTTCGCCCCACTCCCATCGTCGTAGTGTCGCATTGCCAGAAATGGAACCGAGGTTTTTCGGGATTGCAGTGCGCTGGTCGATTCATCATCGCTCGCCGTTGTTTATGCACAATTGGTGGATCAATCACACATTCGGTGTAGTGACAAAGCAGTGACTGCGATTTCCAGCTACAGCTTACAAGTGGTACAGAACTGGTCCTGAGGCCTCACCGAAATTGAATCGGCCTTAAATAAGTACCTTCTGCTGTGTGTGTGTTTGAATGACAGCAATGGAGAGACAAGAGGTGGTCGCCATGGATCTGGCCACTCCACTCACTAGTGGAGTGTGCCTTGGCGGTCTTAAAATAAACTTTTTATTTTACCATGTAAGGCCCACTGATCTATATAGCTCTTATTTTCAGAATTAGACCTGGCCACAAATGATAACACAACGAAGTGGCTTATCATGGGGAAATTTGTCGCAGCCAAATACTCTTAAACGCACGTTGATTCTAAATGTGGAGGGAAAAACCGGAAGGGACCCGAAGAAAAAAAATCGCCGCAACCACACGCAAACTCCAAATATACAGCAGCAGCAGGTGTCAGGGTGGGGATTGAACCCACGACCTCCTGTACACCAGGCCAGGTAGTTAACTTCTCGCCACCGTGGCGCCCAGTAATCATCATAGGTTGTTTCTCTCGCGACGCTTGTGCGTTTGTTCGTCCGCTGCCCTTCAGCAGGTGGAGGAGGCGAACATGGTGGAGGAGGACGACTTCCTGGAGGACGCGGAGGCGGCCGCGGCGATGCTGGCACAGCAACAGCCGCCGGCACCGCGCGATCTCTCGTCGTGGCGCGTGTGCGCCGTCTCGCTGGACGTGGGCTATGACGACGCCCGCAAGGAGAAGACCTTCCTCTTCCTCATCGAGGTTCAGCGCCTGGACGGAAAGCCCGGTGAGTGGGCTGGGGCCCGGGAGTGTGCATGCACGTACGTTGTTGTGCGTGTGTTGAACTTCTTTTGCACCGTACGTAGCCAAGCGTCCATGATGCAGGGTTTTTGGGTCATGTAAATGTGCCGAGTCGAAAAATGTTTGCATCAGGCGCATATTTTTTTTTATTTTCAAAGGTAGATTATGCTTATATTTAATGTATGATGTTTTCTTCATATTTTACAAAATTTTCTTTTGACAAGCAGAAATATCTGCGATTGTGCCAGCACCATATGAAATCACACCCCTGGGCTGTTCTAGAGGCAAGGATCCTTCTCAATGAGTGGCTCTGTCCAGTATTTAAATAAATGCAATGCCACCACCATCATTAGCAGAATATCCTATGCGGTGTGTATGTCATTCGCTGTTGTTGCTGGCATTGTATGCATATTCAGCATAGGTTCCAAGTCAGTAAACGGGTTGTGCCACGCAAGTGGTTTGTGCAATGCAGCAATAGCAGCAGCACCACCACCACCACCACCAAACGCCATGAAGGAGAACAATAGAAGCCACTGCTGATGCACACTCTGACCTTGCCATCGGCAGATGAGCCTGGACACAATCACTGGACTGTGAAGCGCAAATACGACGAGTTCTACGCTCTGCAGACCAAGCTCACGGAATTCCACGGTAAGGCTGACTCCGTATTCATAACTCGCGTGCGATTTTCACCGGGGTATGCGTTACATATGCCCGCAGCCATTTCTGTCCGTGGTGCATTACCGTAATGATGATGTACTTCTTAACTAGAATAGCTAGATGTATGGCAGTTACATGGATGTTGCTGTAAACGGAAACCCTGGCAATGGTCATTTCACTATTGCACCCCATTAACTTGACAATGCCAATAAACAATTGACTGCAGAGAACGTTATTGCTCGTTGGTCTTTCTAATGGACAAGTTGGCTTGATGTATTTTATACACAACTAGTTTTACTACCCGGCTTCACCCGGGACTTGGATTCACCACTCCCGGCCGCCTTTGTCTCCCCAGTGGCGATGTTCACACACCATACCAATTACTCGTTTGAGGCTGAGTCGACCTAGGGGATGCCCAGGACAGGTTCAAATAATCGTCACCGGTAGTGGGTGTGAGCGGGAATTGAACTCGGGTCGCCGGTTTCGTAGCGCAGCGTGCTAACCGCTACGCTACAATGCGTTACGCTTCCACGTGCGCGAGTCACATGACATATTTGACGTGACAGCTCACTTGCCGTGCAAAAAAATATGCATTATTGAGCTCCCCCCCCCCAAAAAAAAACACAAGTGTATTTTAATAATTTTTGCATGGTGTACAGTCTGGAAAGTACCCACATGGCAAATTTGCAGTTGCATGTCGGGAAGTACGCTAAACATTTTGAACAGACACACATAATCACATCTTTGCCTTTTATATATATGGAGATTTGTATGAAGGGGTTGGGTAAGCAGTGGCGCAGTAGTCATCGCTCAGCGCTACGAGGACGGTCACCTGAGTTTGACTCCCAGCCATGGCCAACATCGTGCGCAAGTAATATCTGAAACGGTTCTGGGCGTCCCTCTTTGCAAACCCGCGCTGACCAGAGTGGTGAAGTATGGTTGAATAATGCTTATAACCTACATGGTGTCGGGAGGTCTTCATTCAACAGTGGATTCACAAGGGTTGTGACTAAGTATCAAAAAAATGATATACAGAAAAACCTTGGATTGCGAGTAACTTGGTCTGCGAGTGTTTTGCAGGACGAGCATTTAAAAAAAATACATTTTAACTTGATAAACGAGCGAGGTCTTGCAATACGAGTAGTACGTACAGTATACGCTTTGTCTGCCGAGCGTCACGTGATCACAACTGAGCCGATGGTTCTTCTCTGTCTCTCGCTGCGGGATTGTGGGTAATAGTCTCCCATGCTCGGTCTCGGTCGGCGTGTCTCACTCGTATAATCAACATCCGTGCGAGCGTATACTGTTTACTATAGTGTTGTGACCACGTGTGTGTGCGTAAAGCATTTTTTTATTTTGTGTCCAAGTGTAGTGACTGTTCTTTAGTAACTGTACTGCAACAATGGCCCCCTGCTCCTCCTCTCTCTCGTCTCCCTCACACCAGCCACGATTAAATTTAATTAATAAATTTGATTACTTTATACTAAATTTAAATAATAAAAATATAAAAAGGTATTTTATATTAATCATTTTTTATGAATATTTTTGGGTTGTGGAACGAATCATCTGAGTTTCCATTATTTCTTATGGGGAAATTCGCTTTGATATACGAGTGCTTTGGATTACAAACACGTTTCCGGAACGAATTATGCTCGCAATCCAAGGTTTTACTGTATGTGTGAAATGTGAGTGGATCGGTAGTGCAGTGGTTTGCACGCTCCACCATGAAGCCAGTGACCTCAGTTAGATGTTTTGCCAAATGTTGACATCAGTGGCGAGTGATGCCTAAATTCTTCCTGGGCCTCCCTCCTTCACCAATTTACAGATCTCCCATGATCAACTTGGCATGGGGAGGCCTTCATGCAGCAGAAAATTGACATAAAGGGCTGTAAACTATTCGTATATAAATGATAGCACAAGCACATACGTCCAAGCAGGCCCATGTATTAAGGGAGAATAGATATTCAGGTGTGATGAGAGCTAGCAAGAATTGGGAGTGTGAATCGAACAATAACCTGTGGTTCTTTGTTCTTTTAATGTATTGAATATTGTTGAAGGTGGATAGAGCGTGGATGAGATGTGGATATGTAAATAGGGAAGGGAAGGAATACCCTACATCCGTGAAGTTAACTCCCTTGCCTGGTATGCAGGAGATTTTGGGTTCAATCTCAACCCTCGTACCTATATATTTGAAATTTACATGTTCTTCCCCTGGATGTGTGGATTTTTCTCCGGGTCCTCCAGTTTTTTCCATCCACATTTAGAATCAACGTGCGCTTAAAGTATTTGGCTGCTTTAAATTTCTACGTGATAAGCCACTTTGTTGAACTGTCATCTTTGATAGCCAGGTCACTTATGAAAAAGAGCTATATAGCTCAGTGGGCCATGCCTGGTAAAATAAAAAATAGTTTAGTTATAATCTATTTTAAATAACTCAAGGTGGCTTCCAAGTGACGAATATTGAGACTTCTCTTTTCCACACCCCCCTCCCCCGACATTCTTACAGGCTCCTTCCCCGATGCTCAGCTGCCTCCAAAGAAGGTGATCGGATCAAAGGGTCTCGAGTTTATGGAGTCCAAGACTAAGGGCTTCGAGCTATACCTGCAGGCACGTCACCCTCACAGAAAACGAAATCATAATAATCTCATGCTTTCGAGAGCTGATGATCAACTCGGCCCAAGATGTGTCCAATATAACAGTGTCGGGCCGGGATATTACTTGGATGGGCGGCCTTCATGTCCTCAAATGTTGCCATGAGGCTGCAGGGCTATGTGGTGGGCAACAGAAGGCAGTGCAGCAACATATACTGTTGTACTGCACTTTATATGCCTCTCGCCTTCACCGTCCCGACCATGCCTATACACGGCCGGTATAGGCATGGGGAGACCCTCATCCAGCAGTGGATTTGACACAAAAAAGGACTTTGCATATACAGGAAAACCTTGGATTGCGAGTAAATTGGTCTGCGAGTGTTTTGCAAGACGAGCTGATTTTTTGTTTATGAATATTAATTTGATAAACGAGCGAGGTCTTGCAATACGAGCGGTACGTATACGCTTTGTCTGCCGAGCATCACGTGATCTCAACTGATATACGAGTGCTTTGATATACGAGTGCTTTGGATTACAAACACGTTTCCGGAACGAATTATGCTCGCAATCCAAGGTTTTACTGTACATGGTGCAGAGAGCCAGCAAGAGGCACTGTTATTGGCAGGTATTGTTGAGTAACATTTATTTTATCCCTAACCAAGGACATTCTTACTGTCACAGGCATCCATGCTATCCATCCGCAGAGGTTAGAATTTTGGATTACTGCTCGTCACATTAAGACATAAGGTTAGGCACATTGGCATGCTTTTTAGCATGCTTTTAAGACTTCAGAGCGTGAGATAATTACAGGTTGCTGTCTGTTCATTGTAGCACCATGGTGAAAGAGGGTTTTTTTTTTATGGGGAGCAAATGTTGTTACCTTTGTTAGCTTGCCTTCCAACAAATCCCAGAGTGCTTACTCTTTATATAGTAACTAACTGAGTTAAAGTGTTGGTGGTTGGTTGCATAGTTTTTAGGTGATCCACACCTGGAGAGGGGTGGAGGAGGGTTTGTGCTGCACTGCGGTGGTGGGTGGGATTGCCGCATGCGCTTTGCATCGTCATCGCATGGGGAGCGGGAAGTGCAACGGTTAGCGCTACGCTGCGTGGCGACCCCGGTGATCCAAGTTCGATTCCCGCTCACAGGCAAACCTGGTGACGATTTATCCGAACCGTTCCTGGGCCTCCCCTAGGTCGACTCAGCCTCACACGGGTACCTGGTGCGATGTGTAAAAACATCACCGCTTAGGGAGACAAGGGTGGCCGGGCGTGGGGCTGGCCACCCACCCCGTCGTGTGCCGATCCGTCCCTTCATAGGTGCTCGCTAACAGCACTTGCTCCAACAGTCTGTTAAGGCTATACAGGGAATATTTGTCTTTGTTTGTCATCATCGCATGGCAGAGCTTACTGCAGCACCCGACGCTCACACACAGCCAGCTCCTCGTGGACTTCCTGTCTCGTGACGGAGAGGCGCAGTTCTCCGACAAGACCTTCCCAGACGTCAATATCGGCAAGCGCGCACACACCTGTGCACACTCATCTACCCGTAGTCACCTGTACCTACTCATTCATGATTTCTCTTTCATGCATACTCATCCACGCATGCTTATGCACACGTACTCATTCATGCACACTCATCTACAGATACTCGTACATTGTGTCCTCACGTACTGATCCATACACGGAGGGAAAGATATTCCTATAGCCTTAACAGACTTTTGGGGCAAGTGCTGTTAGCAAGCACCTATGAGAGGGGATGGGTGGCCAGCACCACACCCAGCTGCCTTTGTCTCCCCAAGGGGCATTGTTTAAACACCACACCAGGTACTCATTTGAGGCTGATTCGACCTAGAGGAGGCCCAGGACCAGTTCAGATAATCATCACTGGTGTTGGCCATGAGCGGAAATCAAAATCTGGTCGCCAGGTTTGTAACAAAGAATGCTAAACCTCTGCATTACCACTCATCCATACACACTCACGTGATCACCTGCACACATTCATTCTCAACAACTGCAACAGCCTCCATTGACCAGGCTAGGTGCGCTTTGAGGCCATGTGAAGTGTCAAAGGCTCGCTGCCAGGAGGTCACGGGGACAAACCGATGGACGGTACACCATGTGTCCTCCCTACTGCCACTGAAGTAGCATCTTTCGCGAACCACCTCCACAGAGGCCGATCTTGACACTGCCCTCCACTCGGCTCCTCAAGTCCTCCAATACCACATCTGCCCATTTCGTCTCTAGACTACGCTTGTTTAACCCCCTCCTATCCAGCCCAATTGCACACTCACACAATCAACTGTGCATACCCACCATACAATCACATCTCACTCATCGATACATACCCACCCTCTGCCCACTCTCCCACGTGCATGCTCACCATTCACCCACATACGGAAACTGGACTGCATGCTCGCCCATGTGTGCACTAACTCGAGTGTAAAAGTTTTAGGATAGTGTATGTGTGTAAGTGAATAATATTATTATTACTATTAATAGTTTTATTGTTTCCTTTATTTGACAGGAAAAATCTTCAAAGCGGTCCCTCGGCTGATGAAAGAGGTGGGTAAACGTTTTAGACATTCACAGATTTGGTATGGTTCAATATGATGGGTTGTCCGACTACTCTGAGAGTCACACACTAATATTATTCACACCCTCCAGAAGAATATTCATTGACACTGGAGGAATCCGATGAGCTATAAAGTTCTCTTTTACAGATGTGTTTAAGATGGTGGGCGTTCAGTGAGGAATGAACGGTAGTTAAACAAATAGCTTTTGTAGGTACTTACCTTGGCTGTGTCTCAGGCCTCTTTAATGCGACACTTTTGTAGTTAAGTGCATCATTACTGCACTTGTTATATTGCTGTCACATCACTCCTCAATCAATCAATATCAGCATGCTGCGTTCGTGGGGGCAGCGACTCCACCAAGGCCTTCCATCCTGCCCTGTCCTCCGCCAGCGGCATCAACTGTGACTCCCGGATCTCCGGTCTTTCCTCAGCAAGGCGCACCGCCTCGGTCTTTCCAGCACGAACGCGGGCGGCCTCTGGGTTTTTTGCCTGGAGGACATCCTTTGAACGTCTCCCAAGGGAGTCTTTCTTTCGGCATCCTTAGCAGATGACCCATCCATCGTAGATGGTTTCAATCCACGCTCAATAGTGCCAACTAGACGTTGAGTCTCTGGCAGATAGCCGTGTTTCTCACCTGATCCCCGAGAGAAAGCCTTGCCACCCTGCGCATATACCCTATACATTGTATTTCAACATCAATGGAGTGATGTCACTAGTTTATGCCGACGGCCTGACGGATTGTCATTTTAAAGTATTTTTGTCACTAACAACAGTTCAAACTTGTTTCTAACAGCCGAGGACACAAAGCCAAAAGTGTATCTACAACTAAGAGATATTATTGGGTTGTATCTGCTTTAAACAAGGAAGAAACACCATGCAAATGCATCGATTCTGTCAAGCTTTCCAAAATGCTTTTGTTCTCTAAAGTATTTAATTAGTGGTAGTATTTTATCACCTGAGCCGGACGAGATGATGCCACATGGCGTGTGACGTTGCGAGATGATGTCATGCCTAATGACGTCATGGGGAAGCAAGAGCAAGACACAATATGGGTGTGTGACATCATCGCCTTGGCCGAAAAGGCCGATTCATTTATAGCTTAATTTTTATTGGCACGGGTTGCACAGCACTTTTATTAATTTGGCCGGTTTTGCTATAGCATGAGTCCCGAATAGCAAAACAGCTTTATAATAAAATCACATTTACATTGGATTGACTTTCCGAGAGTTTCCGTTTCATTTATTTGGTATAGCCCTGTGAGCCATGCGGCTCTTGACTCGGGTGCAACCGCAACAAAAACATGAACAAGGAACGTCTTAAAGTGACTACGCGCAACAGAAAAATCCAGGAAAAAAACAGCAAAATCTTCCAGTTACCATGACCACCGTGTTTACAGACAGACAGACTGACGGACAGACAGAAACAAGTGCATACGCATACATTTTTTTTAACCCTTTCATCGGCCTGGCTCGTTAAAAATAGCCTCTCTCCCCTGCCATCGCCGCGGCCGTGCCCTTGCAGAGGGGGCAGCACCTGGAACCCTTCATCCAGTCTTTTGTGGTCTCCTGCGAAGCACCCAAGCCCAAACCCGGCAGGAACGAGATCACCGTCCTCAGCCCGAGCCAGAAGTGCGATGCCAAGGTGTGATGCGCGCGCACGCGTGCACAGCTCTGCGCTGCTAGCCTGCAGGGGGATCTTTGTTCGCGCCAAACACTAAGGAATATTGTTTCAAATGATGGGACGTCCTCGATTACTCTCCCACCCACTTACAATTTAATGCTGAGGGGTCGATCCTTTATGATTAACATTTGACATGCATGCTTGTCTGTTTATATATCAGCACAATAGTCACTCTATCCGTTTAATGTTTCTCAATTAATTCTACTATGATCATTTTAAACATGTGACAGAGCCACCTTGTGCGAAGGGGTAATGCAGTATTTAACATTGATTTATGTACGTCCAATATTTTCAGTTCATGCGACACAATATTTTTTTCTCTTGATATATAATTACTTTATTACTGCATTTTATCATAGATGTTTTTCTTATGTCAATTTGGTGCCACAAGTCACTCTTGCATATGAGACTATCCTGGTCTCTTACATTTTTTATCTTGTTAAGCAAATCAACTTAAAAATTGCGACGCAATATGGTGATACTGTGATACATTATACAATATAAGGTCCACAATAATTGTATTGTATTTTTGACTAATTATGATTATGGTCATTTTTTTTTAGAGTTTAGTTCCTGACGAAATATATAAGAAATAACACAGTAATGAAAGGTCCAAATAATAGCTATAACCTTACTGTATTTGTTCTTTGCAAAATGTAATTAATGGCATGGTGGTGATATGACATGATTATCATAGTTAATTTACTTCTTTAATTATCTAATGTGTAACTGACAGCATGTACGTTATGAGGATTACAGTTTAATTTGCTATTATTGGAAGGCTTATGTGAGGCCTGTGTTCAGTTTACTGTGGTTTAGGATCTTTTAAGTAATCTTCATTCCACATGGGAATTAAGGAAGGCACAACAACAACAACAGTATAACAACAATGGTAATTAAATAACAAAGTTGTGGTGAACTGTTCTTCCGATAATCGTCATATCGCAAAAACTTAAATTTTATTTTTAGGTCAGGGGTTGGCAAACCTTGCGGCTCTTTTAGAGACTACTTCGTGACGTTATTCATTAAGGACCACCGTCTTGTATTCACGTGCATTTGTGGCTCGTGAAATATTGAGGTTTTTTTTACCGAATTCGAAAAAAAAAATGTCTCTTCTTATTATTTTGGTTGCCGGACCTCTGTCTTAGGTGAAACATGATTTGGCAGTTACTCTTAAGTGCCCCTAACCCGTGGCTCCCCGCAGATCTTCAGCCCACTCTTCGGCGACAATGCCAGCCGCGTTGACGGCTGTGACAAGAAGAGGGGCCCCAACTTCTTCGTGGAGGAGAGGACCGTGAGCGGCATCTATGACTACCTCTTGTTCGTGGGTAAGTGGCGCTCTGCTCTTTGCGACATTTTCGGGTGCGATGTTCCGCATCCATTCGTCACAATCATTGCCATCGGTCTCGTGGAGAGTGCTGGGCCCTACAGTGGTTTGGCCGGCGATCCCTCAAGCCTGGCGCACAGGGGAATATTGCAATGCGGGGGGGGGGGTAACATTGTCCAAAAAATTAGCTTTTCAAAATAATTAGAATTTTTTTTTTAAATGCCAATAAAAGCGGCGACTTTTGTCCAAAATGTAATATGTACTCTCTTGTAGAATTGTGGATTGTACATATATTAAAAAATAATTTGTGATTTACCATCCAAAAAAAACACATTTTGCTCCGTTGCTCGATGGGTCTTCTTTGCCAATGTTTTTCATCAACATCTGTTTAAGCAGGCAAATCCTGGACCTGTTGACGCAATGAACTGGTTCAACTCTCATTCCATAGACCCCGAGTTGCTTTGCCGTTCAAGGCGGCTATGTCACTTCAGTAGAAAAACAGGTGCACTTCATAATTTGTATTGTGGATGACTAGTATTGGGTTAAGTTGTGAGTACCATCATCTCTTAAAACCCATTTAGACCAATGTGTGACTAGGCTAATTATCCTTCAACATATGGAGGTGCCTGCATAGACATGCTACAGTTTCTGTTTGTGTGTGCGTTGTGCCTCCACTTTACACAGGGCGCCGCTGTGGCGCAATGTTAACTCCCTCGCCCGGTATGCAGGAGGTCGTGGGTACGATCCCGACCCTGACACCTGCTGTATATTTGGAGTTTGCATGTTCTCCCCGTGGTCGCGTTGATTTTTCTCCAGGTCCTCAGGTTTTTCTCTCCACATTAAGAATGAACATGTGTTTAGGGTATTTGGCTGCTATAAATTTCCACCTGATAAGCCACTTCATTGAGCTATCATTTGTGGTCAGGTCACTTTTTGAAAAAGAGCTATGTAGCTCAGTGTGCCTTAACTGGTAAAATAAAACATTTTTAGGTTAATAAAATAGTGTATCGTTAAACACTGTTGATATCCTCATGCCACCCCCGCACCCCCTCCGCACCCCTTGTCGCCTTGCTGACCACAGGCCGAATAGTGTTCAAGATACCCGATTGGTTGCACCAGCTGCTGATGGGGGGGCGCATCCTGCTGAAGCACACGCTGGAGGCCTACTGCGACCACTACCTGGCCTACAAGATAGGCCAGCTTCTGCAGGAGCACCGGCTGGAGGAGCTCCTGCACCTGCTTAGAGGTGAGCACCATGTGTCGCCACCCTGGCCTGGTCTTCCCATTCATGCTTTCATTCAATGCCATATTTTTTTTCGTAATTGCCATTGTAAACATTGTCGCCGTTACCATCATCCTTATCAAAATCATCACCAGCATCGTCTGAATAATTATTGTCGGTATCATCCTCATCACCAGCATCGTCTGAATAATTATTGTTGGCATCATCATTATCATCATCATCATCGCCAGCATCGTCTGAATAATCATTGTTGGTATCATTATCATCATCATCGCCAACATCGTCTGAATAATCATTGTTGGCATCATCATTATCGCCAGCATCGTCTGAATAAACATTGTTTACATCATCATCATCATCGCCAGCATCGTCTGAATAATCATTCATAATAAAGGTTTTTGGGTTAGATCGCGTTATTTATAAATGTGTCGTAACCCTCCACCACCCGACACGGCCAATCAGCAAAAAAGTGTCATGTTGACAAAAGACAATTAGTTCACTACTTTAGCCCACCGGTGTGTTGAAGAGTGAATCCACAACATTTACAGTTTGAAACTTGATTTGGAGCAAGTGAGGGCTTCACCATTCTGGCGAATTGCCCGATGATGCTGGATGTAATTACCAGCGAAACGTCGTACTCAAAAACTGTAAATGTTGTGGATTCACTCTTCAACACAGTGGTGGGCTAAAGTAGTGAACTATTTGTCTTTTGTCAACGTGACACTTTTTTGCTGATTGGTCGCGAAAGCCTACGTGTTAAACTGAATAATCACTGTTGGCATTATCATTATCACCATCGCCAGCATCGTCTGAATAATCATTGTTGGCATCATCATGATAGTTCTCATCATCTTCTCCATCATTGTCCCCTTCACTGATCATTGTCACGGTCGTTATCATTATTGTCATGACAATTATCAAAATCTTGGTGACCTCTAACATGTTTTCCTTTATTATCACCACCATCATCATCATCATCATAGTTGCTCCCCTCTTTGAACATTCCTCATATACCAGGTCCACAACCCTCCGCACTCCACTACTCCATCCTATTGCAATCTCTGGAAACCCAGCACTGAGCTGCAAGCTCCAATTTCTCAATCAATGTGCTCTTCAACCTAAGGCAAAGTCACCTCCTCTCTAAGACCTTGGCCTCGCATCTACCAAGGCTGTAGCAGTGCTGAATTTTTTGTTCAACCTATGTGCACAATTTCCCTCGTGATAAACCTTCTGCATGACTGTTAAGTTTAGGATTTTAATTAATTTAACGGTGGTTTTTGTTATTTTCTTCTCATTGTGGCAGACGTCCTGTTCTTTGACAAAGACCCTTCCCGCACTCCCGAAGAGCAGCGTCTCCGAGCCCAGCAGACATTCCAGGGCATGATGGCCTACATTCCAGGTGACCTGCAACACCTGGCGCAGCACCTCATCTTGACCTTTTAAAGGAACAAAGCAACCTCAACAAGTTAGGAAAACTAATGCATATGCATGGATTGTGTACTGTAACGCTTTTTCAGTGAATTACTTGGCAATACGGAAACTGATGGGTAGCCCTCGGATATACATTAGTTTGCGTGTGCCTTTTTGCTCTATTTTGTCTCCAAGATTTGGGCAACACTTTGTTCAATTTGACAGCTTTTTAAAAAGGTAAAGCCCTACCTAATAACAACACAACGTTAAACTACAATGTGGTTCATATTGGATGAGTTTTACAATGATTATAGTGTCCCCTTTGTTATAGACTTATGAACCTAACTAATCCTTGAATACTTCTAACAGTTGTTGGAAAGTATTGCAAACAAGTAGCTCTTGTTTGTTTGAAGCTTTGCAAATTAGGCGGAGTCGAGAGTGACTTCATGAAGGAGTGCTTGTACTGCAGTGGTGTTTTAAAAGTTGCAGTCGCACTGCAGCGACAACGCGAGTATCCTATGTCGCACTCCTGAAAGACACTTTTAAAGTCTTTTTTTATTCATAAAAGACTGAAATTTCGTGTAGGGTATTTTTTGTCTTTATTTACTCGGTATTTGTCTGTTTTTAATTTGAATCTTCCACAAGTACATCACGGCACGTTCGTTTTAATGTTAGATTATCTCTTCATTGTTTCACTCGGATGTTTTGTTTTCTCAAGATTTAGGTCTCACATTCTCCAACTTAACTGTGGTGCATGTGTTGTTTTTTTAATCTACATTCTGGGTGTTTTCACGTTTTGTATGCTCCGCTGTCTTTGGGCGCTTTAATATTCCTTCGCCCGCTCGGTCAGCGGCCTGTTTTCATTTCTATCGAAGAGGATCCCTCGATGCTTGAATAATTGTTTCGCATGCTGTGCTGTGTCTCTCTCATCGTTGAACATTTTCATGTTTTGTGGCTGCTCCCTCGCTGGGATCTAATTTGGGTTTTACACGGTCCGTAGACATGGCGGTGAGGTGCATTGGAGAGGACGCCCGGTACGAGGGAATCAAGCTACTGTTTGATGGGCTGCAGCAGCCTCTGCTCAACAAGCAGGCAAGGCCCGTTTTATCACCACTGTCTTACTTTTATGGCCATCTTCACCAGGTCAACCTTGTAAAAGAGCCCATATAGGCTCAAATTCTTATTTGGTGATATAAACTCTCCTGACTCTCTCTGAAGTGGTGGCTCGTGGCTCCGGTTTGAAGAAGCTACGAAGTTAAGCTGTTTGGGTGATGCACGCAAGTGGATTCCTCCAAGTGACTGAAATACCTTGACACTTGCTTCATGGCCACGTTCTCCATCAGACACGTGCATGCAGTCCCAAGCACCTTTTCATGGTTCACAGAGTCATGGGTATGAGGGAGAGTGAAACAGCTTGCGGGATTGCCTGCTGGTTTCGTGTGTTTGTGTGTTCATCAGTGGTTTCGACCATGTGCGTGCGTGGAAAGCGGTGGTGCAGGCATTCTGCGCACGACACTATGACCTCACACCCCACCCTCTCCTGTGCTTTGCCAGCCTTTATATCTGCTTGCTAACAGCATTTCCAAATATGGTTTGTAAAGCGAAACGGGGGATCCGTTGTCTTCTTTGTGTCTGCGTGTCTTTGGGCTGCTGCTACTGTAGCTCACCTATCTGTTGCTGGACATCGTCGTACTGGAACTCTTCCCAGAGATCGACCAGAAGCTGGTGAGTCCGTCTTTCCCTCCATCCAACTGACGTGTTCCGTCACAACACTCATCCCTTGGCATATTCCGACAGGTCCCTTGCAGACGCAGTGCAGGATCACAGTTATTGGTCTCTTGACTGCTTTGCTCGATGCACTGGTGGTGTCTGACCCGATGGATCTCCAAATACTTGCTTCCCCCGCCCTCCCCCAATTATATACACATTTTAAAATTGGCAATCATGTCATGAGTCGAAGAAATTTCGATTCGGAACTTTTGCATTGAGAAGTGCACCACCTGTGTTCGAGAATGGCCCCAGAAGTTGACATCAAATAACTACTTCTGAAGTTACTTCATAGGGCCTCTTTATTCACAATAGGGGTAAACCTTTATATGGCCTGCAAAGCATGTTCATCGTATGTCATTCAGATCCAAACAAAAGTTTTTTTTATTGGAGCTGGAATAAGCTGAAATAAATGAAAAAAATATTTTATTGTGATGGTTGTTTCACGTAAGCATTGGTGACTGGATTTAAACCACTAATTCACTACACAAAGAAGCCCAGTTTCATCGCAGTTGCCTGTCCCGATTCAAACCCAGGATATCAGCTTAAGCTGCTCAGTGCCCTATCGTATTATTGTACTCCTTGAGCCACCCAACCAATGCTTCTTTCCCTATTTTTTACTAAAATAAATCCATCGAACTGCATGCAGTTAATTTACTTTGCCGCATGTCGTGACGACATGCGCATGCCTGTGGTTATGCATTAAATAAGAGGTCATCATACCCCATGATATCATTAAACCATTTAGGCAATCGTGGCCACTTGTGAAAAACTAACAAAAGCATTGTTTGTGAAGGACCACTTGTGGTGAAGTGTTTATAATAAGTCGCGCAACTTTGAAATGTGTAATGCTGCCTTCATTTCGTGAATTGTCTTCTCATGTGACGTTTACGTAATTGTTTCTTTATTTTTACAGAAGTGACTCGACAACCGATGTCAATACCTGCCACCCGAGCACGAGTCCCACAGATTGATTCTGCAGTGGGTGTCGCATTTCAAAGCTGCGATGCCAGCCCCAATAAACGCCTGGCATCTGTAGCCTACCTCGTAAACACGGCTCATAGCATGCGCACGCTCAAACACGGCAGAATTCCTTCCCGTGGAAAAGCATTTGATGGGAAACATAATGCCCGCATTTGAATGGTTTGTTTGTTCCCGGCAATCACAATGATGTTGGCTACTATGAGCTGGCATTACTCCAGTCTGGGTTCACAGCCTCTTAAATTGTGTAGTTTTGGTGTGAGTGGCCATACATGCTTTTTAAACTATTAAACGATTTTTTTTAGTTACCAGGTAAGGCCCATTGAAAAATATAGCTCTTTCTCAGAAGCAACCTGGCCACAAATGATAGCTCAATGTAGCGGTTTATGTGGAAATTTATAGCAGCCAAGTACTCTTAAACACATGTTTCTAAATGTGGAGGGAAAAACCAGATGACCCAGAGAATAATCCATGCGACCATGGGGAGAACATGCAGACTCCAAATATACAGGCGTCAGGGTCGGGATTGAACCCACAACCTCCTGTTGTACCAGGCGAGGTATTCAACATCTTACCACCATGGCGCCCTATATATCAGATGTATAAATAATTATTATTCAATCAAGGTAGATGGTTACATTCCGGATACATGTCTCGAGTCGTGCATTTCATGATCTAGTTTTTTTATGATATGTTTAAATTAAGTGAAAATATAATCTTTCGGGTAATAGAACGAATTAGACAACCTGACGTAGCCAACCGAGCCCTTCAGCACCATGACGCTCAAGTGGCTGATTGGCACGGTTGGCTCCTTCCGGTGTGAAAAAAGTTTAACATACACATGTACATACTACTTACATCCAGATGCTCTGATGTCAATGGTGAAGCAGCTCTGAAAACTAGTATGTCCGGAACATACATTTATCGCTGTTCGCTTAAAAGCAACGAATTGTAATCAGTGGCGCAGCTCTTGAGTGTGCAGGCTATGCAACTGCGCTGGCACCCATAGAGTCAGAGGAGCATAGGCTTGCTGGGCTAGGAAGAGGAGGGGAGGGGTATTTGACAGGGGGGGGTCCCCATTTCATTCCTTGCACCAGGCCCCAAGTCTAACCCATGCTACGCCATTGATAGTAAGTGTTCGGACAAGAATCGCCATTATTTATGTTTGCTGTGGATGTGCGAAGTAAAGCGTTAGGAAGAGGAGTTGTAGTGCCTAAATTGCTTTATAAATATCGCTCACTGTGGTACAAGACCTCAAATGCTGGGCCAATATATGGTCTCACGACTTGATGAAGCAATTAAAATAATTACTTCATTAATTGAATACAAGAAAATATCTTGAGCATTTTTCTTTTTGCATGACACTGAATGTTTGTTTTATTTTCGTGATATTGGAACACTGACAACTAGAAACTTAATCTTGATTTGAAGCTTTCGTGACTGCAGAAATCCATACTCTGGTTCTTTCGGTAAAGTCACGAGCTTGTTTATTACGCTTGTGCAGTACGGAATGACAATTTAACAGTTTGACTCCCTGTAATTCCTGATGACGGGTAAACTCTACTGTTTTGAAGTTCATTCTGGCAATACAAGAGAACCGTATTCAAGGTTTGGTTAACAACAACCTATACTGTGGTTTTATGGCACTTATGTCAGTGGCTTATGAAGCAATGAATGAGATTCGGTGCAATTTAAATTCGAACACTTGACCACTGGGGCAAGTCTTTGCTGGAAAAAAAATACTTTGGATTGTTTCCTTGGCCATACCTGCCTATCCAACTTAGAGCACTCTTCTGCCTCTGAGTGCAGGCAAATGGATAACCACACTGACCAATGTACATACATATAAAAGCTAATGTTCACCCAGCCTGACAGATATATGCCTAATTCCATTCTGTCTGCATACAAATTGAAATATTTTAAAGTCCATCGGCCTTAGTGGCTTTATAGACCAACTGTCGCACGGAAGGAACGGAGTTATGCTTATATTTTATTTTACCCGCAATGCTTGATAGCTAGGCAAAAAAGTTTTCATATACTTTCCATACAATTCCCCTATATTCGAAAATATTGCAGTTCCTCAATTGTGGGACATTGTACGTGCGTATGATCTGGCACAAGGCCCTCTTGCTACACGAGAGCATAATGGTTATTCTCCACAGCACTGTCAACAGTTGAAGAGTGTTGATTTTTGTCAGCGTCTACTGCCACCTTGGATTGGTTGAAGGACCTGAACATCCAACTGTGACATTCTGCTGACAGCCGCGTGCGGTCTACTGTGTATTACCCGATCTACATGTCAGTCGATAACAACATAGTCCGCATGCGAATCGTAGAGGCAATATGTGCTGCCGTAATGGGGCTGTGACGATGGGTGCAAGACTGTGTTTACCGTTGCATAGGTTTTCACGGTAGTGCTGTGTATGAGCGGGTACAAACCAAATACTCAAATTGGAGAGCTAAACTTATCATTTGTACACTGTAAATGTGAGGTATGTCATTTTCAGATTTCAACACGCACTTATGTGCAAATAGTGAACTGTCTTGCATGAATTACACATTGGCATTTGAATTGTAAAAATCTGTGGAAATTAACGGAGTTTGAGAGTTTACCAAACATTGTGAGAATAATTGCATTTTGTAAGCATTTCTTGATATTTCATGTGGCGTGCACTTGCCTTATCTGTAGGCCTACACTTAACATTATTTTGATGTACTTCAGTTGTATTAGAATTGTATATTGGTAGCATAAATGTGATTTAAATATAACTTTTTCTGTTGTCTTGTTAATGTCACATGCACCCACGTGCTGCTTACATTCGCAAAGTTGTTACATTGTAAATGGGCCCAGTTAACAGTACATACCAATAACTCCATACATTAATGTTTACGGTGTTTAAGACCTCAACACCCATTGATTTTTCTCTTGCTTTTGATTCGCAGACTGCTGCTTCCACGTGGCATATTTTATTTTAATTTATCGCCCTTCAAACTTGATTTGAAGCTTTCGTGACTGCAGGAATTACTCTTTGGTTCTTTCGGTAAAGTCACGTAGAAAGAAAATAAATGTAATAATAGAATACGACCTTTAGATTGCAACACAAGCAATCGTCACCGTGTCTGTATTTTGTCTCTATGTACGTGTCTCTCTCCGAGCTTGCATTCATTCACAGCTGATGACGATTGCTTGTGTTGCAATCGAAACGTCGTATTCTACTATTTAATTTATTTTCTTTCTACGTGACTTTACCGAAAGAACCAAAGAGTTATCGCCCTTCGTCTATGATATAGATTTTTTTTCGGCAGTGTCTGAGTATCTAGTAGAAAGGCGCTATTGCCGCAATTGTAATTCCACCTTGCAGTAAACAAAAATTCCATTCAATTCCCCCATTTTAACTGCCGTATTAATTTATACCGTGTCAACCCATACGGGTTACTCGTATTCTTGTACAGGGAAATGTAGTTTTCAGGTCCATACGGCTTACAGCCGTTTCAACACGGGCAAAAAAATACATGATTTTCCCTTTTGATGGGACTTTGTAGGATGAACGTTGAGATTTATAAGGTCACGGGGTGACCAACAAGGTCTAATAAGATAGGCACTGATAAGGGGTTGATAGGTATGAGTGTATGGGTGAGTGTACGAGTGGTGATTGTGTTTCTCGCTTGTGATGGGACTAGGATGAACGTTGAGATTTATAAGGGCAGGAGTTATTAATAAGATCTGTATTGGTCTGTAATAAAGTAGGCACTGATAAAGGGTTGACAGGTATGTAATTTAGCCCTGGGAGTGGTCTTAATAAGTGACATTTAAGCCGCAATTTACCCACCCTCTCTCTTCTCGTCTCATTCTGACACCAGTCTCTCAGACCCCCCCCCCCCCCCCTGCTGCCGTCCAGGAACTCTGTGTGTGCGCGCATGGTATCCAAACATACACGGTCAACATTAACAAACTTGCCATGGGTAACGGGAGGGCAGTGTCAGCGGTGGGGCCGCATGATTGGTGGTGGGGTTCCTAGAAGGCGGGTTTGAAGGGGGTGGCGTGTAGCGTGTAGCCATGTGGATGTTGGGTCACCAGATCGGTTGGGGGTGGTGGTGGTGGTGGTTCAATGAATCGGAATCCTGTAGTCCAGAGTGGTGCTTATAACTTCGACTACAGCCTTACACACGTTTGGTTCTCGATCGTAAAAAAAACAAGTTACATGTTAATAAATACGTAGGGTTTGATGCAACAAAGTAGTTGTACTTACGTGCCCGTGCTTAAGTTGTCTTACGATTATTTACCTATGTTAAAAGAAAATCTGGCCGTGTATCGCTACCCACAGAAATGGCATCTCGCACCCCAGATTAAGAACCACTGCTGTAAGTCTATAACTGCAGGAATCCCATGACCTATAAAGCTCTTTCACAGACGTCCAATGAGAAGTTGTGTGTGTGTTAGCCATGTCCACCCCCCCCCCCCAAAAAAAAGATTTGTGGTATTGACAATTGCCTCCACGCTCCGAAGATGATTATTGCATTGAGCGAAGCCGCGTGTTGTTTCGCAGTTGCACTTCGTGGCACGTAACAAAATGTGTTTTGCCCAACGCCGCCGCCGCCGCCGCCGCTGGCTCTCTTGTAGTCGCTGTTGCAGCAGCTAATGTTTTTAACATGCGATGCATTCTCTCCTCCTCCCCCCTTCCAACTCTGTAATGGCACGTGACGCCGCTACCAGCGGACGTGCGCTCACGTGTGTGGGGTGGGGGGGGGGCCTCTTGCTCTCTCTCTGTCTTCTCCCAACTTGCTCTGTGTTCCAGTTGCCGTCTGCTGTAAGGGGGGGGAGAGTGGTGTGTGAGAGAGGATGCTGTCCGGATTTTTAAATGCACGTGTACAGTTCGAGGCACTGTACGCATCCGACAGCTGCTGCGGAGTGGCAGTGTGGGTGGGTGGAGGAGGAGGGGGGTCCGCGTGGTGATAGTTTGGTGGTCTCTTCAATTGCCACTAAACTTTCCACACCAAGACTTTTAAGGGGACTTCCATTGAGCGCAGTCGTTTTGTCTGTCTGCAGCAGAAGCATCGGCACAAATACAGCAGCTCATCCAGACTCTGTGGGGATATCGGAGATGTGTCCTCTAGGGAGAATGAAAATTCCTCAATATACAATTCTTTTTCTGCCCGACTGTATGCTGCGTGCTTTTTTTTTACAAATAAATTTTCCCAGCGTGGATTGAATACCCGTGTATTTTTTTAAACTCCCTCCAACCCCCCCCCCTCCTCCGCCAACTTGAAAAAAACAAACTCTTCCACCTTGTAACCCCGTTTCTCCACATATTACATTTTTTGTCATCAGTGCATCATAGTGTGCCTTTATATAATCCCGAAGGACCATGCATTAACTCCCAAAGAAGCCAAAGATTTATGAA